CTTACTCCTCTCCTTTCTTCGGGCTCCCTTGTGGTTCGCTTTCTCTTTGTTGATGACATCTTTTCAGTCTATTGTCTGGAGCCCTTGTATGTCCTTCTCACGTTGTTTTTTACTAGATATTCGCTTTTTGATGTTCGCCTCTTATTGTTCTTTTTAGCGTTACTCTTACCGTTTTCTGTTAGTTTTCTGCTTCGTTTCTAGCTCTCTTTCTCATTTTCCCAACTCACTCGCACCTTTTACTTCTTGCTTTCTGTCTATGCTATTCCCACGCAAATCCTCTGACCAGAATCTTGAAATAGAATTATTCATTCCGGGTGACATAGCTTAGCTCAAAAATTGCAAACTGTCGAGTATCAAGGATGTTTTCAATTAAACCCTAATCACAATAGGTTCCAGCTCTAAACGCGGATTACACATCCTTTGCTTGAGCGACTTCACATTTACTAGCCCACGTGAAGTCCTCGTCCAATGCTCAACTGTGTGCTCATGGTGAGCTACACCGAACTTAGTTATTCGATTACGCTTTACTATCTACTTTCTACCTGCGCACATGAATGGTATTTCCAAGTTATGTAAGCAATCACGCATGCGTATTGTTTTCTCTGCTTCCCTTCTACCTACGTAATGGCTAGATTTGAGCTCGCAATTCGGCTAGCTGCGCATACAAAAAGTAGCACCTTGTACTTACGGACGTACGGTCAAACCCTTCCAAGTTTTCTCGGCTTGATGGGTTACCACTATTTACTATAAGTATGCGTTGCGCGAGCGCGAACTGCTGCGAGCTCCGCCATAAACTGAAAGAGGTAATCCTCATGAGCCATGGCATTTTTTTTTCAGTCTATTTTAAAGTTCGTGACTGGCTGTGAAGTTATTACCAACTTCCATGATAATGCGGTCAACCATCTCGTCATATGGCACTGTCAATGTGGTTTCCGGTGTTCAAGTTCTAAATTAGTTTTTAAAACCTGCAAGCTCTCATTGTCGAGACAAATTTATAAAACGTGTGTGAGTCAACAAAAAGATCATGTCTAATTGTAGCGTAACGTCTGCCTTTGTATTGATGCTTTCAACTTCTCGCAAACGGCAGGGGCTCATATAAACTCTTCCTTAGCCCTTAGCCGGCTAGAGGCTAGTCAATGTCACTTTGTAAGAGTTACAGAAATCGAAATCAGTTTTTCGGCACCGCGATCGAACAAGTCTCTTTCTGTATTTTTATTTGTGAATTATGATGCGTAGGAAATCGCTATTTCTGCATAAATGAATGTTTAAGAGTAAATCAAATTGATTCCTCCAATTTTCATAATATTTCTTCGTCAGAACCCTTATAAAGTTGTTTGCACACAAATGCGTGAATCGATAAGAAATCGCGCCTAACTGTAGCTAAGGCCAGTTTACCATCGGCTAGTTGGTATTGATGTTTTCATTTTTCTCTCAAAGCATGCGCACTTGTAAACAGTCATCCGCTCTTCGTTCTCTACCAAATTATCGAGCTAAAAAGGCGTATAGCTGATCAAGAATGGAGGTCAACACCTGACGGTACTCGATTTTAAGAGAACAACCGTGCAAAAATCAAACAAAAATGAAATTTTTATGGCAAGGGTCAAAAACTCAAATTGTCTCAATTTTTGCACACAAGTAGACCCTATTGTAACAAGAAAGGCTGTGTATTTTTTTTCCTCAAATATGTTTTTATTTTCGAGAAAA